TATTGACTACAGGAAACTGAAATTACGAAGATGAGACGTTCTCCAGTGATTTGATGCCCGTTCCAAGGTTCATACATATTTGTCAATCGACTCTAAAGATATTGGTGTTGTGTGGGGGTTGGAGGTCAAGACGCAGCGAAGTATTGAACATAACATAAAGTTATCTTATAAAACAATGAAGGCGTCTGAACATATTTAACACCCAATAAATATTACACATATTATAAAAATCAGATAATTCTGAAGCTTTCTTATTTCTGCATAGGTTTAAACCGCTTTTGTCTAGTCGCTTTCGTGTATATTGGCTTCCCGATACAACTTTATATTCCCCATACACAACGTAGAAAAGAAAGTGTTAGAAACAGCACTCTATGAATGCCAGAGTCATGTAGCTAATAAAGCATCAGTCTTGACAAGTTACATTTTTCGCTTTTCACACGCATTGTTTTATATGTCCGCTGTCTCTCTTTTATATTGTGCGAAATAACTATCCTTCTGCTGTATTTCTCATTAGTGTTTTGAAATGAGAAATGTTAATGTATTTATTCTAACTTTTCGTCAGTGCATTCTCTCATCTCCAGTCCAGTAGTAAGCACACAATCTGTCAGTTTGTCTTTGCTTGTAATTATACACACAGACCATACAATTCTTCATACGCTCCTATGGGTACTCGCTATTTAATTTAACTTTAACCACCCAAACGTTAGAGTTTTACTTGCGGCTTAGTTTTATTTCAGAAACAGCCCTTACTAATTTGTTCGCAGCTGTGTACGTGGTGCAAATGTGGAAGTGACATGTGGTTTGTCGCAAGTTGTCATGGGACTCGTCCCGTTGAAAGCCTCTGTGCAGCTTAAAATATCGTTCCAAAAAAGGCAGTGCGCGTCATGTGAATACACACAAAACTATATAAAGTATTACCTGACATGGATCTGGATGCCTCTGCCACGATAACGCGGTGGTAATTTATTTCTGTGGTTAGTGAAAAGTCATTTTGTTTCCATCTGTCTGAGTTGTTTGGAAAATAGAACTAAATGCAGGTTTTCCAAGCAATCATTCTCATATTAGTGAGACAGCAAAAAATTTATAACTAACGACCAAGTGGAAATAGCTTGTCCATAAAGCTTACGTTTATAAAAAAGCGACCGTGCTGGGTGTGTTGAAAGGTGATCATAAAAAATATTGGAGAGGATATCGGGATAAAAAACGGAACGTGATAGACCGTGATAATATAGAGGAAAATGATAAGGAATCGTGTGCTGAGAAGAATTAAAGGAGGTCTCAGAACACAATAACCCACAAATTCTGTGAATGTAAATATACAGAAGTAAAAAAAACCTGGTTTAATAGTGATGCATGTCTATACACTTTTAGCCCCATGTATGTTTAGTCAGAACTTTCCTTTATGCAAAATATTTTATATTTGAATTTAATTGTTTTAAATTGAATAAAAATTTACTTGGATATTATCCATCGTCTAGTAAATATAAAACTTAAAACGACGTTTCGGAGATGGGACTCTATCTCCGTCTTCAGGTTCCTACACAGTTGGGCCCACTAGATAGAGCTAATCCCTATCTCCGGACCTCTTGGATATTATCCATCGTCTAGTAAATATAAAACGTAAAACGACGTTTCGGAGATAGGGATTAGCTCTATCTAGTGGGCCCAACTGTGTAGGAACCTGAAGACGGAGATAGAGTCCCATCTCCGAAACGTCGTTTTACGTTTTATATTTACTAGACGATGGATAATATCCAAGTAAATTTTTATTCAATTGACTCTTCACCATCGTCAAGAAGTTTTAGATTTGGTAATTGTTTTAGGTTAGGTTTGAGGTTTCAGTGGTGACGAGTGTGAATGTCACCATGCAATCTGATAGACAGATAGACAGGTGTTTACTACGTCCGTCATCAGCGCTATCAAACATCGGTCATCATCTATCACACTACACGGTATGACCAGAAGACAGCCAACTTCGTAATTTTATTGGATTATTGAGATTTTTTAATTATTTATTTCAGAAATATCACATTGTTCTTTTACTAACCTGCTTCATGGTGCACAGTCATTAATACGAAACTGAGAGTTGCACAGCCGATCAATAAACTTGTGGTACGCGAAAGTTTATTACTGTGTATGCTGCTGGACCTTCGTAATCCTGACGCAAATGTGATTTGTTTTCGATAGATAATCGGTTCGAATCTCGGCTACAGAATAATTTAATACAGTTCAATAAATAACTAGGATAACTGCGGTGTAGGCACAAACTACTTTAGACTTTTATTATATTGGATAAGTATTGTTTAATTTTATTAAGAACTAAGTAGGTTTTAATATGAGTAAATTTGCGCTAATGTCGAAACAGAAGACATTTCAGGCAATCGGCCATGGTCTGGTTTAAAGGTGGTGTTCCGACGCAGAACTAAGAAATTAGAGCATGTTATGCAACTTTTCTTTATAATTAGTTTCTTGCAGGGTTCAAAGCGAGGGCCATTTGAATGGACTGCGCTGCTCAGGATTTCTCCGTCTTTTTGAAAATTAAAGTATACAAAACAATAATCTTGCCTGTTGTTTTGTATGGGGGCGAAACATGGTCTCTCACTCAGAGGGAGGAACACAGATTGCAGGTGTTTGAGAATCGGGTGTTGAGGAGGATATTTGGGCCTAAGAGGGAAGACGATGGGGCGTGGAGAAAACTGCACAATGACGAGCTTAAAAATCTGTACTGCTCCCCCAGTATTGTGAGGGTGATTAAGTCGAGAAGAGTGAGATGGGCGGGACATGTAGCGCGCATGGATGGGACAAGAGGTGTGCACCGGGTACTGGTTGGGAAACCTGAAGGGAAGAGACCGCTGGGGAGACCTAGACGTAGATGGGAGGATAATCTCAGGCGGGATCTATGGGAGATAGGAGTTGAAGGAAACTGGATTTTGTTGGCCCAGGACAGGGTCCGGTGGAGGGCTTTGGTTAATTCGGTGATGAACCTTCGGGTTCGGTAAGCCATCTAGTTAGTTAGTCAGTTTGATATTTTGGTTGGACTGTGGTTTTTATGATTGGCTGTAATGATGGTATCACTCTGTTATTTCTTCACGGAAAGTGATAAAGAATGTAGTTTTGTTTAACGTTATTTTTGGAAAGAAATTGATATGTCATCGTACGATGGAATGATAAATTAATTCATCTCATACGTGGAAGCATATATTTTATACTAAATTTTAAAATTAAATCGAATTTTTTGACATAAATTGAAGGAAAACCAGTAGGTTTGATAAAGGAGATGTATTCTTCCCACTTCTCAGTTTTCGTTTTGCTTTTGAGTATTCATGGAGAACTGAGTAACACGAAGGGAGGAGGAAACTTACAGCCACTTGGCGCACAAACAGTCGAATGAAAGATGACGTTGGGAAATTGTATGAGAACAGAAAGAGACCAAAAATATATGGAAGTGTTCCAAACTGCGAGTCATTTTCTAACTTTCAAGAATTTTTCTATCTTCCTTTCTTGTTGTTGCAAGAAACAATTTTTCATCATTCTACTCGTCCTACCGTTGTGTAAAAAACTGACTTGAACTTTAGTGAAGTATGACAATACGATCATTTAGGAAGAAAGTTGCATTGGCAAAAACCTAAAATGATGGGTTATATAGTGTAAAAAGATCCCATTTTAGTTGTTTTTTTCCCCTACAGAGCGCATAAACATGGCCCGTATTTTATCATCTTCACATAAACTTCTGACAGTAAAATATTATTTTGCACTTCAGTCGGTAATAAGATGGAACTATCAGGTGTGAAATATAGTGCATGCGATTTATCTGCTTTTCGACGTTATTATCAGTGTTATAATATACCAGTGCTCATCGTCTCTTAAAATTGGTCTAATTTGGAACAGCATTAACAAACATTTGTAAACACGTCATAGATATGGCAAGCATGGCTTATGACATAAGGAAGCCGACAGAATAGACTTGGCCACATATCATATAGCTGCCAGAATTCCTGAATAAAAATCTATATCTTACATGGAATAAGGCAAAACTCATCAGCATTTGAAGACAAATCAGTTAATAATATTAAATTAGAAAATGCCGAATCTGAACTAACAAAAGAGGACATTAATAATTAATTAAATTGTCAGTGATTAAACATTATTAATGTTAAAAGTCAAATACTTTATGTTGTAAATTTAAATGAAGAGAACAGGGATATATATATATATATATAGTGTATGATGCCCACTTCCACTCAAAAACTTCCCTTCCCGAATGAAGACCTTCCAAACCTATAAAATATTAATTACATAGCTCACCGATCTCTCTTTGTGCAACAGTACTGCTGGTATGGACTTCCAATATCACAAAGTTTTGAAACATGATATTAAAACTTTCAAACGCAAAAATTCTTCCTAGAAATTAGCACGATACTGACGTTATCAAGTCTGGCTTCAGTAGCTGCGTGACTTATACCAATGAAACATAAATATCAAACCTGTATTACTTGCTTCACAACCACGTCGTTATTTTCAGTTTCAGGAATATCAGCCAGTGTAGAAGTTGCTGTTTACGATTTTAATAATACACACTAAATTTTAACCCTGACAATGAAGGACACAATTTTGACTCCAAATCATATTCTAGAACGTGTGACATGCCTTGCTCTAATGTTTGTCAGGTTGTTTCCAGTGGGACGATTTCCACTGCACGTATGATGTTTATTAACTTGTTTATAGATGTGAGATTTGAGGTTTTCACGGCGGTGGTGGTGATGATGATGATGATCTCTTGGGTTCTGGCGCCATGTGGGTTGTGTCGTAGACCGTTATGGATTATTAAACAGAATAAGAGGGAAGACACATTCAAATTACAGACCATTTCATTGTAATTTTGACATGAAATGACACGAGAACATTGAACATTCAAGAACTTGAGCGTTTTATAATTAAATATTAGGCTTTTCCATAAAACGATATCCTGTGTTAGTGAGGTGTTATTTACTGTGTTTCAGTTCCACCCGAGCGTCCTGTGATTTATGACGACAAGAGAAGGGACAGAAGCAAGCTCCTGGAGCGATACAACGAAGGGAGCGACGTGTTCCTCGTGTGTGAGGTCACGGGAGGTGAGTATCCTGACCTGATAAATTGCACCAAGAAAATTACACTGGCCCTTCCATTTCTCTGCGGATGTACACACGCGTGTATTCGGTTGCGGAAGTGACGTAAAGGAGCTCATTAAAGGTAAAAGTAGGGATATTCGAGAATGAATAATAACTGATGTCAACAAACCGGATGTTGTAATTGTTATTGGCTTTGTAGTTGCGTTCAGTATTGCAGACTATAGAGAATAAAATAGGATGTGATCGATACTTGATTAGTGTTAATTAAAATATTTATCACACAATTTTTTAAGTACGCAGGCCACTCAGTTTGCACTATTACAGTGTTGTCGACAGATTCTGGTTTTCATGTGGCAAATCTTTGAAATCTTCGTAAATTGTATGATCATTGTATTTTAGTCATGGCACAAATTCTGCGTCATTCGCGATCTTCTATCGTGTCAGGTGTAGCACAAAGACTTGTGGTCTTCATACCTAGAAGTAGGCTTAACATAGTGGCAATGTAATGAAGGATGTATCTCTCATTCATGAGGTGGGCGAATTGTGTAAATAGAAATGACTTTGGATAATTTTGGTTTAACTTCTCTGTGTTTGTCGCTCTGTACTGAGCGTGTTTACTTACTGTAAATGCCCTGTTAGAATTTGATGTTGACAACTGATTTAATTACTCAAGTATTCCTTAATGTGTAAATGAAACTGAAATAAAATACGTTCTAAACTCGGCGAAGATGAGATCGTTTTTGACATAACAACGCTTGTGGTATTCACTCTACCTTCTTTGTGTTTAATGTTATTGGCCGAGAACCTGTTATTTTTATACACCGCGTTACTTGAACTAGTATTTTTCAGAACACACTGTTAAGTAAGGAGATTTTTATACTGTTTGTTAAGTTATATTGCTTAACAGAAATGGTGTTAAAATCATGTGGCCATATGTATTCGTCATCCATCCATTTAAGAGAATACTCTGTTTGCAATGAAGTGTGTAAAGAATAGCACGTTTTCCATTGAAAGCGTGTACAGTTATTTATTAGAGTTTATGACTTTTTGGAGATCGCTTCAGGAATATATCCACTGCCAATAGAAAGGTACGCGTGCATTCTGTATTGCAAAAGGCCGAATGTCATTTTCTTACGTTAGCTGTAGTATCTTTACGACAAGGAACCGATATCTCTGGACGCTTTCAAATGCTTTTGCACGTTTACAATCATCTCGGCGTATCTCGTCTAGTCTACCAATGTTACAGAAAGGTTATGTTTACATTAGAATCCTAGTCGTAGTCCCTAAGGATCATGGAGATCTAAAAAAAACTTAGTGGGGCCTAATTGTTCCTTGATGTAGAAGAGAGAATAGCGAGTCTTCAACTTATTCATTTAAAATTTAATTTAATTTCGGCCTCAGTTTCAAGTGGCTCAGACTTCATCGCGATATTTACTCCGCTGCGATTCCTTCACCATTTTTTTTGCCAATAAAATAGATATACGTAAATAATTATATTTTCAATTTCTTAGTGAAGCACATACGTCTGTTGTTGCTCTGTTTTTTGTTTTTGTTTTTCAGCATACTATGAAAGCAATTATACTGTTTGCCATTTATTTTACTTAATGAAGGTAATGCTGATCCTAATATCCTGATGAAACGAGGGGTTAGGACTTCTGCTTCAAATTCGGAAGTTCCCTTTTTCAAATCTCGGACAGGAGACAGGCTGTTCTGACTGAATGTTTTCGTCGCTTTTGCCGTCTCTCCAGGCATATTCCGGGATATTAACTTTAATCAGGCCACGACAATTTCTTGAATACCCTTTCCAATTCATTATTTATTGATCATCCTATAATTCGACGCTTTATTTTGACCTAATGACAGAATCGTCACAAACAAACACTAAAGCCTTGTAGCCCTTTTTTTCAATGTATTTTGTTTGGAATTTACCTAATTTTTATATAAAATAAAGCGATATATACATATATGGTTATTTAAAAAGAGCCATTCTGTGAATTATTACACTAACTACCGTAGTATGACCAGTCAAATTTGACGGGAATGAATCCTTTAGTGTTCAGCAACCATACAAATTATCGCATCATTGTTCTTGCAAATCGCATTGAAAGTACAAAGTCCATAATGTATTAAGTAAATTATATGTGAAAACATATTCACGGCGACTATAACCAAATTCCAATCAACGAAACGAAAAAAAAGAGGAAAATAAACTACCGACCTGCCCTCTCCAGACACCAGACTTCCGCCAATCGCATAGTCCGTCGAACCACATTATAGGCGCCATTATAGCCTCGTTTGCATTTCTTAATACCATACTCTCGACCGTCAAAACCTTATTCTTCCCGAATAAAGTGAATTCCGCGCCCCTACAATGTAGTGTGACGGACGGACATGAGGAGAAGATACAGATCTTTTGACACACTTTACCACTCAGCATTGGATAAGCTTACAGTTATTTTCCCTCTCATACATTTTCTCTTTTGCCACGATTTGCATTATGACCCACCTTAACGGCGGCCCTAACATCTGTGAACTTACTTAACAGCTTCCGTGTTATTTCATTAAATACGTACAAAGACTTGCTTCATTACGGTATCTCCCATCGCGGAAACGAAGCCTACTGCATACATTACTGTCAGAGGTCGTATTGATCGAGCCTCGAGGCTTAATTTGCCCTATATCATAAAGAGGTAATAATTGCAAGTGGATGTTGCAATATCAAATCTAGTTTCTTATTACATTGTATTCCGGAATAATTAACGTGCATTCCTCAGCCGAGGCTTCGAGGTCGTTTCCATGGTGAAGACTTACGTAATTGCTTCTTGTCAGCCTATGTCGTACTCAAAGAGTTGATTTTGATGCAAGAAAAGTTGAGAATTAGATGGAAGAATAAGTAAGGACTGTGTGTAATATTTAGCGTCTATGAGCAGACGTAATTTAAGTCCACATGGACTAATATTAGGTAGATACCAGTATTTCGGAGAAAGTTATTGTCACCATCTTTAGGGTTGCTCGTTTTTATGCAACTTAATATTTTATTTTCTAGGTTCATCGTTACGTACGTGGTTTGTATATAAGCTGACACTTCAAAGTTTGTCGCTTAATTATTCTGTTAAAAATGCAACTAGGATAGGAGAGATGAAATTTGTATACGACGTTCTTTTGAAAGGGAGAGTGCTGAGATAATATTAAACAGATTTAATAATATTAATAATAATTTGTGAGGATTTGAATCGGATTGAGTTGGTTCAGGGATACATGTGCAGTGTGCAGATAACCTTAACGACTGTCTTACTGTGTTATGTATGAAAGTTTACCGCAGAGGCAAAGTCGAAAACTTAAAATTCCATAAATCCACCTAATACATGCATAAAGGTTGCTTTTCTATTGCCATAAATACATAGCATCTTCAGAGACTGCTGTAATAATTGAAGGAATGCTAAATTGTATTTAGTGCGCTGTTTCAAAGTAAGTGTTGCGGGAAGACCAAAGAAATTTGGCAGTATACTATACTAAGCGCTCAAGAAAACAGGCACACAATTTCGTAATAAGGAATATAAAATAAAACACGAAATGAGTTAAGGCAGAATGTAGAAAACATATAATCAGAATAAAAGAGATTGGTATTTATATGATGGTTCCTTTCACGTTCATTAAAACTTTTCTTTAGAAATTACATTTGAATTCGTACAATTTTCTTTTGTTATGCTTGTCCCTAAGTTTCCACTTTTCCTCAATAAACTTGAAGGTTGCTGCTATACGGGGATTTCCAGTACCGTTTTCTTCTCTCTTTTTTGTATTATGTTCTGCTTAAGAGAACGGTTCTGCATTCGAGAGGTGGAAGCAAGGAAGCCCTGGGACGTGAGATTGTGAAGTCATGACACAATACACCTAAATGGAGTAAAGTCTGAGTGTCATTACAATGCTTGCAATGAGTGTTAGACAGTTTTCAATTTGTATAGCTAGCCTATATCTTATTATTTTAAAGTCATGAAGACTTTCCAGTATTTCTGTCAACTTTATTTCTTCACACTACAGGGAGGGGTATCGCTAGTCCGAACATAAACTTTGAAAAGCATTGTAACAAAACTCATGTTCAAAACTCATAACAACGAAGGCTTACTTAAACGTTTTCTTCGATATGTGTTGTAGAACAGAATTCTTTTGAGATAGACTTTCACGGAATTGGACAGACAAATTTTCGTTAGCCTCTAACAGTTAAGAGATCATTGTTGTCATACCTTACAACCCAGTTTCACTAAGAAATATTTTACTATTATCTTCCCAATATGCCGGCCAAAATCTTCCGTATAGGATAACAAGATTTTGTTCTCATTGCTAATTACCTTTATGCCTTGTCCGCCTGATGAACATTCTAATATCTGATTCTCCGATTAATTACGTACATTTCTATATTCGGTGCGATCGGAAAGTTTCCAGACTGCGCGTATAAAAACCCGTACACTTATCTCAGGTATTAAATTCATCCATCACCCTCGAAGTAGTTTCCCTGGGAGTGAACACAACGATCCCAGCGCCGCTGCCAAGCCTGGAAGCATCCCTGGAAATCTTTCTTTGTCAGCCTGTCAAGCACCATCTGCGATTCTGCCTGAATCTCTTCTATCGTCTCAAATCTCCTTACCTTTAGCTGAATTTTCATCTTTGGAAAGAGGAAGAAGTCACACGGAGCTTAGAAAGGAAGCTGGG